CAATGAGTTTACTTCTATCTACTCTGTGACATCTGCTTTGACCCAATAAAGTCAGTACACGTACTGGATTGAGAGCGAGGCCGTTGCCTAATAACGACCATCAAGTCAGTCGCGCGCCTTTTGGCAGATTGTCGACCTACATGTATACACACACATACGGCACCCCCGAACGGAAATGGAAAGCGGTTCGAAAGCAGCCCACTACAAGACAGTCAAAGATCGATCGATCGATCGTTTTTCGGATCAATTGATCAATCATTCTATCGCGGGTCGGCCTTCGTCGCCGGCGCCGTTGGACTGTCATTCTAATTGCTTTGAACGGCCCCGGACAATGCACGCTCGGTCCACTGCGCAAGCGCAGCTAATAACGAGCCGTAGGTGTTCCTCGAGTTAAGGAAAACGAGCAATACCCGGCACGTTGAGATTTACATTTGTTATTTACATATATAGCGGAATAATTACGGAAAGTAAATGCCGGTCTTTTAAAAAGAACCTATGCGCCCATGGAACGTTGAGGTCGTCAGGTCTGATATGTATTTGTTATTTACACATTTTCTTTACATTATTATCCTCAAACAACTTGATTCACGTGTGGCAACCGGTTTTGTAAATGTAAAGTGTATCTTGGGAAGTTTGAAATTGTTAGTGTAATCAAGCATTGCATTTGGAGAGATTGGGAGTTGTTATAGGCTGTTCACTTTTTCTCATGCGCGTGATTAGCGAGAACGTGTTAACACTCCCTCCCCTCCCCCCTCCTCAATTCGAGAACATTTCAAAGATACCATATGATCGTGCCGTTGGGTTTTCTGTCTTTTCACAAAAGTCTCTGTTCCTCTTTTGACTCTCCTCCTGTGCATTTTTTCTTTGTTGTTATCCTTCTTCTTCCTCCTTCCTTTCTTTGTGCCCTCTCTACACCCCCCCCCCTGCCCCCAAACACAAAAACGAACACCGAGAGCAATTTGCAGTAATAACATATTCCTGGGTCAATATTTGTTCAGCATGATCTCATTGAGGAGAAGTCAGCCCCATTTGTGATAACAAAATTCAGGGTTATTATAATTCCAGGAAGGTAGGTGGTGCAATTATTTATTGTTCATGCGAGAGTCCTAAAGCGGTTCGGATTGTCCTATTTTTTTATCAATCGCGAATTTGAGCTTTAAAAATAAATCCTCCCAAGCATGATAGTTTTAAAAGAGATTCCATCCAACGCTCTGTACCGTTATTGTTAGCATTGAATTCATGGCTTCTGGTCGCTCATACAACTTGGCAATGACACTGTTGGTTGCCCTTTCTGTGCATTGTCACCTCTTCAGGTCAATGGGGAGTTCCCAAGTTATCAATAAGATTGTTTGAAAAAACCCTACAATAATATATTTGATGTTCATGTATATCCAACAATGAAAAGTTGCCTCCTCTTTACAATACTCCCTTGGCATGCTGGTTCATTCTAATTTACTGACTTAGTTCTTGGGGTGAATAAACGTTATTCTAGCTGTATACAGTGGTCATCTATCCCTGTATTATTCCTTTGTAACATCCCTGTAGCATCCACCCCCCCCCCTTCTCTCTCTCTCTCTCTCTCTCTCTCTCTCTCTCTCTCTCTCTCTCTCTCCCTGTATGTCTGTGTGTGTGTGCGTGCGTGTGTTTGTGTTTGTGTGTTTGTGTGTGTGGTGTGTGTCTGTGTGCGTGTGCGTGTGCGTGTGCGTGTGCGTGTGCGCGTGTTAATGTGTGCGTGTGTGCACGTGCACGCACGCGCGTGTGTGTGTATATTTGTGTGTGTGTGTGTGTGTGTGTGTTTGTGTGTGTGTGTGTGTGTGTGTGTGTTGTTTTTTGGGGGTAAATGTTTTACGGCGCTCGCAACTGCATAAAGTCATATGAGTACGCGGGACACACCAAACATTTTCAGTTGGTAGGAAATTTTGAATTTTGCGCAGGTGGCGGCCGAAGCCTACTCTTACCGATTTTTAGACCACAAAGGGATCTTTAACGTGCGCAACTTGCACACGGGACCTCGGTGATTTTTCGCCCTTGTCCAAGAAGGCTATATAGGTGTAGATCTTTCCTACCAGAAGATCACAGCAGAGAGATGGAGCCAAGGAGTAGCTGTAGAAAGGCTGTTGAAAAAGAGCCAAGTGGAGGGGGCAAAGGAGGTGAGGGGGTGGGGGAAGAAAGTAGAGACGAAAACAGACGACAGAATATTGCAAGAGAGAAGGGGAAAAAAGTGAAAGGGGACAATTTTTAGAGACGAAAATTTTCAACTGTGTGTGTGTCTTTGATTGTGTACAGTCAATTTGGATTGGACTAAAAGGACAAATTCTGGGAAAGCATCCTCTTGCCTACAACAGCTTTCAGACGGAACGCCTCAGCGTGCGCGTCCTTGTAACTAAGTGGGAGATCCTCTATCCTATGGGCCATCTCCAGATATTGTAGCACCCCCCCCCCCCCACACACACACACACAAATCCCCTGACTTGAAGCACATGGTCCTGAACAGGAAATAGTGCCGCTTTCTGACGTGGCTACGACGTCATTTGGTGTCTGTGTGGGACAAAACACACACACACACACACACACATACACACACACACACCAACACACACACACAACACACACATGTACACACATGTACACACATATACATACATACGCACACACAAGACACATACACACACGCATACGCTCACGCACAAACACACACGCACACACATAGACACACACATAGCCCCCCCCCCCACACACACACACTCACACCGCTGACACGGAGCCTGTGTATTTATTCAGCCACTGTACTTTGGGTTCAGAAGAAACCAGTTGTGAAGGACATGAGAAATTTCTCATTGGTGCCCAAACAATCGCAATTTGGTCCATTTTGAAACCAACCGTGCAACGGATACCTGCTGTGCACCTTCTGTTGTTTTCTAATTCTAAGCTTCTTAATGAATCGGACCACGCGCCAGATGGAAACGTCAAGTACTCACGACACCTGTTAAAGCGACAGCCGACCATTGAACTTTGCTTGACTCGTCTTTGCCAACACAGCAAGCGAGATTAATGCCCCCTCTATCCTGCACTTTTGTTGGGATCAAATTGGAATTCACGCCGTACGATAATACATTAAACAAGCTCAGAGTTATGCCTCTGCTTCAACAAGGACCGACCACGCACTCCTTGGCTCGTGTCTTCTAGGGAAACAGTAAACGATTAGCATTCTAGGGATTTGCTCTCTCGGGGATTAGCATTGATCTCTGCCAATGCCTCATCGATCTGCGTGAGCTGACGTCATAAAACTTGAAGGGGGAAAAAGAAAGGAAAGCGCCTTGTTGAGATACTCTCTCATTCACAGCATAATATTACTAGAACATTTTCAGGAAGGCAGGCAAGCAGGTCTTTCCACTGCAATATCTCATTTTTCTTTTCACCATGTGTCTCGAGACTTTTTTATAAGAACTTTTCTTCAACCTTATAACGCAGAATCGAAATCTTGTCTGGATAAAAACCCGTAGGCCATTTCCAGTTTTCTTTCTTTTTTCCAATTAAGAATATCAAGACAAAGGTCGTTGAACTGATATCCTAGATTCATGCCAGAACTTACCGTTCAGCACAACAACGTTGGAATCTGCAAGAAACGTTCCAACTGTGCCCCCTCTCCCTAAATTACAATTACGTAAATCACTTTTTTTTCCTAATCGCACTGCGAAAATTCCTTGAAGGAGCACCGAAAGAAATTTATGGTTATATTTTATACATTAGTCTTTTCATCTTTTAATGCAAATAATACACTGAAAGGAAAAAAGAATCAAATAATTCGACACCAACTAGATTCTAGAGAAAATCAAATCCAGATTAATCACTTTTCCATTTCTTCCTTTGACGCTCCCCCCTCTCTCTCTCTCTCTCTCTCTCTCTCTCTCTCT